CATTCATGACCTGTTTGATTGAATACATTTTTATGGCTTGGAAACCATTTTTTCCCTTGAAAATCTAAAAAAAAAACAAGCTTTTTCTCAGTTTTGTGTCATCCAGTTTTGTTCTAAGTTGGTACAGGGACAGGTTATAATTGTTTACAAGTGCACATCGCATGTTTATCGCATATGTTTAACAAGTTATAAATTGTCTCAGAAAAGCCAAATGAATATTTTTTTTACCCCACTCCCCTAAAAATGTAACACATCAATTCTGAACAATTAATAACAGAATTTTAATACAGCTCATAATGAATTAATTCACTCTGACACAAACCCAGTTCAATATAAGTTTTAAAAATTTTTCTGAGCGGGGGCTATGACATGTTATGTCTTGTTATTTTCGAAATGTATCACTGGCTGCATTTGTTTTGTTTTTTTGTTTTCCTCTCTTTCATTTTTCGTCTGGCTGCTGCCAATCCAATAATTCGTCGCTGCATGTACTCAGACAAGCGATTAATCGTCACAGCCATTATACTAGTAGTTTAAGTCCAATTGATTTGCAGAAATTCAGTTATGCGATGATTATATGTGCAGTTTTGTTTTGCGCACCCAGACACAAGCAAAAGTTAACCAAGATAGATTTTCGGAACTACAACATTCATATTACTTACGAAAATTGAGTAAGGGTCATAGTGTGAGTTGCGTTTGCAAATAACAAAGTGTCAAATTATTTTGAGCGCCGTTTGGAATAAATTTAGTCAAAATCACACACAAATACTAGTACTCAATACATATCACGATTGATTGACCAGTTATATAGCTGCTTGAACTACGCACACAAGAACGTAAATATGTAAATACAGGTCACAGTTCGACTTGCATAGGAAACGTTACAATGTGTCAAGTGATTTGAAGGCGTCTTTGTTCCCCTTCCCAATACAGAGAAGCAATAAGCATTGTATTTTGAATCTTCATTAAAACCTAAATTTATTACAAATAAAAACTTAAGTTTATAGATACAATTTGTTACTCATTGTTACTCCAGCGGTCAGTTGGCAAGCGGACGATGTTTCTGAAGCCAGCCATAGGAAGAGCGAGCGAACAAAAGCAAGTGAGCAAGCGGGAAAAAAAAGCGATCGGTTTCCGGTCGTAAAGCAGCGAGTGGTCGGAAATTAAGCGATAAGCGGTCGGGAAAAAAAGTGATAAAAGCGGGAGGTTGGGCGGAATGAGTACTGTAACTGACTGTCAGAATAGTCTTCAGAATAACTATAAGACTTGTAGCAGATCTATTGGTGTTGTATGTAGTAATCATGAGGCTTGGACTCTATACATATCATATCATCCACTATTCTCTCTGTCAATATGTAGTCTTCTCATCATCGTTTGTCATGTCTAATTCCCATCGTTGTCTCCATATAGTTAATTGCCAGTCTAAATATAGAGTTGGAGACGATGAATGGTGACATACAGGCAAAAAGAGATGAACTGGAACAAACTGTCTGTAAATTCAATAATGTCAGACGAGATATGGATAAATTACAACTTGCAAAAAAAAAATATGAATCAATAGAAGACAAAGTGGGAATCCTCAGTAAGTTATTCACAATGAAAATAATTTTAGTTTTTGTAAACATTCTTCTTTTTGTAAGTAAGCTGATCTCAAAAGCTTAATTTGACATTTAGTCACTGACTATTTAAAACTGTATTTGACTGTAATACTTTTCCTTTTGTAAAATTGAAGCAGTTAACTTATGCTTGTTACTCTATCTTTGGATGGTCGTCTAAACCAGTCTTCATCTTGCTTTGCTTGTTGCTAGGTGACCAGGTGATTACATTGGAGAACGCTGTGAAGGAGAGAGAGGAAGAAAAGAGTCGGTTGGCAGAGACACTCAACTACACACACAGTGAAATCAAATCACTCAGAAATGTAAGGATGGCTTGGTGGAGACACTTGACTATTTTAGCATTGTAGAATAGGTACTGGTAGTATTGATTTTGATGTTACAGATTCTCTCTTGTACGTATTACATTGTTTTCAATGTTTCCACAGGACAAGCAGGAATGTGAGCGACAGATTGCTGAATTGAAAATGGAATTAATATCAGCCAGAGAACAGATACAAAAAACTTATACGGTATGTGGTTGTGTCCCATGAATGTGTTGGTCTTTACATCCAGAGCCATTATGAGGTTGCAATTCACTACGTTCAATTACCCGCCATAGACGCCATTCAGTCAAAATGACTATTTTGGACTGTGGGTATTAATCAGCAATTCTGCCAATGATGGAGAGATAGAATTTAGATCAGGGTAAGCCCC